TCTGTTGCTGTTAGCTGTTAGCTCTGTAGCTGTTAGCTCTTTATTTGTTAGCTCTGTAGCTGTTAGCTCTGTAGCTGTCAGCTTTGCAGCCGTTAGCTCTGTAGCTGTTAGCTCAGTAACTGTTGGTTCTGTAGCTGTTAGCTGTGTAGCTGGTAGCTCTATTTGTTAGCTCTGTAGCTGTTAGTTCTGTAGCTGTTAGCTCTGTTGCTGTTAGCTGTTAGCTCTGTAGCTGTTAGCTCTTTATTTGTTAGCTCTGTAGCTGTTAGCTCTGTAGCTGTTAGCTGTGTAGCTGGTAGCTCTTTATTTGTTAGCTCTGTAGCTGTTAGCTCTTTATTTGTTAGCTCTGTAGCTGTTAGCTCTGTAGCTGTTAGCTCTGTAGCTGTTAGCTCTTTATTTGTTAGCTCTGTAGCTGTTAGCTCTGTAGCCGTTAGCTCTGTAGCTGTTAGCTCAGTAACTGTTGGTTCTGTAGCCATTAGCTCTGTAGCTGTTAGCTGTGTAGCTGGTAGCTGTATTTGTTAGCTCTGTAGCTGTTAGCTCTGTAGCTGTTGGTTCTGTAGCTGTTAGCTCCGTTGCTGTTAGCTGTTAGCTCTGTAGCTGTTAGCTCTTTATTTGTTAGCTCTGTAGCTGTTAGCTCTGTAGCTGTTAGCTGTTAGCTCTGTAGCTGTTAGCTCTTTATTTGTTAGCTCTGTGGCTGTTAGCTCTGTAGCTCTTAGCTCCATTACTGTTAGCTGAACAAGCTCCGCCTTCAGACATGACTCCTCCCTCTTTCAGGAAACTTCCCGATGATCAGCGACGACCTGGTGAACTCGTACCACCTGCTGCTGTGCTCACTGGACCTGGTCCTGACCAACGCTCTGCTCTGTAATGCCAGGAAGGACCTGCTGAACCCCAGCTTCAAAGGTACGGCCCGCTGGCCGAGACAGGGCCGTCAGCTGAGGCTGCTGGGACTGCTGGGTGAATGATCAGATGGACTGAAGGTTCTGATGGGACTGAAGGTTCTGGTTCTGATTGGACTCTCAGAGTTTAGAGCGTTTTTATCTCCAGGTGTGATTTATGACACCACGTGTTCATTAAATGAAATCTGCACTTGGGTACAGGAAGTGTGCGTATCAGTCGTGTTCCGTGTTCAATTGAACACGTGAAATAAATCTAAAGTGAGCAAACTCCAGCAGCAGGACCTGTCAGCTCTGCCTTCACTTCCTGTTGACTTCAGTCCTTCCTGTTCACAGATGACTCCGCCTCCCTGTCAGAAGGAGCTTTTAATTGTTGGAGGGAAACCTGACACCTGTTAGGAGATGAAACCATGTTTCCTGTCAAACTGTGTATTTTGTATCATTTGATTTAACTAAAGATTAAATTTATCTCTGAGGCACAAAAAGATTAAATCTAAACTGAAGTTGTTTATTTGAAATGATCAAACATCATGAAGACTGTCCTCCTCTGTGTCCCACGTCCTGCAGGTCTCCCTGAGGACTTCAGCAACAAGGACTTCCGGCCGTCTTCAGGTCCGTTCTGCTTCATGGAGCAGCTGTGTGAGCTACATGATGGTCTGGTTCTGGAGGCCAAAGGTGTCAAGGAGCACTTCTGGAAGCCCTTCATCAAGAAGCTCTTCCATAAGAGGGTCAGTCTCTCACACTTCATCCTGCTGCTGCTGGTTTTCCTCTGGTAAAATTAAATAACAGCTTAGTTACAGAGCTCTAAAATAATGACACATATGTACGTTTTCTCTTTCTGTTTCTCTGATTTCTGATGGTTTACAACAAACAGAGCAGCAAGTCCTGCAGCTGTGTTTTCAGCAGATGACTTTTAAAAAACACTTCCTGTTTCTGAGGTCAAGGCTTGAAAAATTATTGACTGTGGAGCATTTCAGTTCTCACATCGTACCTCCTCCAAATGATGATGATGATGATGATGGATGATGGATGGATGGATAATGGATGATGGATGGATGATGAATGGATGGATGGATAATGGATTGGATGATAGATGGATGGATGGATGATGGATGGATGATGGTTTTTAAGTCTCCTGGAGACAACAGGAAGTCTTGAATTGAACTTCCTGTTTGTTTTCCTGCTCACAGATCCTCAGAGGGAAAGAAGACAGTCTGACTGGTTTTATGGATCCCATGAACTTTGCAGACAGTTTGTGAGTGTCCTGGAGCAGACCACAGAGCTGGACCTGAATCTGGACCGAGTTCTGACTGATCTGGTCTCTCCTCAGCCTGTCCCTCAGTCGTCTTTATGAGGAATTCATTTTGGCCACGGGCAGCCTGGATGAGAGGATCTTCACCGGAGAGGGGGCCAGCGAGGACATCGGTACCCCAGGGCCCTGCCTCTGTGAGGGTGTGGAGAACCAGGACACCGCCACCTACAGGCTGAACACCAACCTGACTGTAAGGCTCACTTCCTGTTCGTTCTTCTTCTGCTGCTGCTTTTCTAACTCAGTCTCTCTGGTCCATCTGGTCCCTCTGGTCTCTCCAGGCCTTGACTCCTCTGAGTGGGAGGAAGTACATCCAGGAGCTCCGCCTGGCGTCTCCGCTTTCAGCCGCCATGAAGTGTGTGGGACGACTTCACACGCTTCTGTCAGGGACCAAACACGGGCCGAGCGTCAAGCTGACCCAGATTCTCAGGTTGGTCTCAGCAGAACTGGACTCTCATTTATAAAGGACTGTGTAGGATGCAAACTAAACTCTACACGCCCACACTCAACCAGAAACAGTCAATGTGGACATCATGAATGTTAAAGTGCCTGTGACATCACATTTTTGAGATAAACATGAATGCGTTTTTGGAAAGATAACATTGATAACATGTTGGAAAACAAATTTCACTCTGTTGAGATTAACAGTTGTTGAGATATTTACATGTGAAGAAACAGGAAGTGATGTCAAAGGGGAATGTCTGCATGTGAACAGATCATTGTTACAACAGCTAACAGAGACTGGAGAGAAGAATCTGGTGTTTCTTTAGATTATTTTGAGTCTCTATCAGAGATGAAGAAGAGTTAAAGTTTAAATAATATTGTTTTAATAAACAAAGACCAAAGATTTTATTTTATTAATGAGTTCCCCTTTGATGTCACTTCCTGTTTTACTTTGGCTGAGACAAATTCAAAACAAAATAGGCCAGTAATGTGACAAAATGGGTAAAATCATGTGTATTAGGGCAATTTTATTAAGTATAAAGATGCTTTCTTTGACTTTTTGTATTTGAAGTATATGCATATCACAAAGTGTATTTAAATGAGTCAGCTGATCAGTGTCAACAAAACCTGATTGGCTCAGACACGCTCTGGAGGACAGGTGCTGACGATTCACATCAACAGATTATAATTTACAGATTTTCCCTCAGTTTGCAGGAATACAGACGTTTAGAGCGATCTCATGGATCTATTCAAAACCTTAACTTCATCTTTATTCTTTTAGAGCCTGTAGGATGTAGCTAAAGGCTAATTAAAGGCTAAAAGTAGCATAAGAAGACAAACAGAGGCAGCAGCTGAAGTAGATTTAAAACAACGGTTTTTAAAGAAGTTAAGATTTTAATGTATTTATGGGAAAATATTTATAGTTATATAATCTGAAAAATGTTAAAGTTAAAAAACTACAAGTGACGTCTCCTGAATAAGCCAAACTTTTTGATATAAAACAGCTAAAATTAGCGGTTAGCTACAACAAACTGTAGAAAGTATAAAACATTAAAAACTGACTGAAGACTGGTTTTTAAAAGTCTTTTCTTGGACACAGAGTCTTGTTCTGAACCTCTGGTGTCATGTGACAAACTGTTTCCCTGAATGTCCCAGGGGCTGCTCCAGAGACCCCAGTGATGTCATCAGTCAGCGCCTGAAAGACATGTTTGACGTTTTCACGCGTCATTATGAGGACAGCGACGTTGAAAGCAGGAGGATGGACAAAGGTGACCCGTTGTCTCGTCTCTTCTCGTCTCGTCTTGTCTGTGTTGATTAATAAAGTTTGTTCTGACAGACGTGGCGGTGAAGTATTTCCACCTGGCGGAGGCGCTCTACTACAGGATCCTGGAGTCCATCGTGGAGAGGGAGAAGATGATCCTGGGAGACGCTGACCTGTCTGTGAGTCTGAAGCTCCGCCCCTCCAGCAGCAGGAAGGAGACGAGAACTAGTGTAGACAGGAACTGTTGAAAGGTTGGTGTCAGCGTGTTCTGGTTCTGGTTCTGGTTCTGCAGTGCATTCTGGAGCAGGATGTCTTCCATCGCTCCCTCCTGGCCTGCTGCCTGGAGATCGTCACCTTCTCCTACAGACCTCCAGGAGACTTCCCCAACATCATCAGCATCTTCCAGCTGCCTGCTTATCACTTCTATAAGGTACCGCTTCACCTGGCACGCTCAGGTGCTTCTGACAGGAAACACTTTACTATGGCAGGCCGTTTAACATATAATCATCTTCACCACACTTACATTCCAGATAGCTAATTGCTTTATGACTAGACATGTTAGTTAATCAAGATATCTTTAATTACATCCTGACTAATGTAAATGACATCAGACATTGTACGAAGGCTTTAATACAAAATATCTTAAACGTGTTTTTAGATATCTTATAAAAACAAAGAATGACTCAGCAAAACTAACTTAGAGGTATCTGTATTTTTAACTAGTTCAAATTCTTGAATCTTTTTTTTTATCTAATTATTCTGTAGAGTCAAAACGTCACAGATATGCGTAACATTTTGGCAGAAAGTTTCTAAGACATTTTATTCTTACTGACCCACAAGCCTTACCTTATTTTACTGTTCAGTGGTCTGCAGAGGTCCAACTCAAGCGCTCACATTTTTAACGTGATTTTATCTCTGCAGCTCAACAGGAATCAAGGAATAAAGAGAATTTATTGTCAAAATGCTGCAGGCAACAGTTTGGACAGCTCACTGGCAGCAAGGGGGGCTTAAACACAATTTCTTTAGTCAGATCTCCAGTGGTGGCCCCTACTCCCCTAAAGCGCAAATGCGGTAATTGCGGACCTAAATTTCTCCTTTGTGCTTTAGGAGTTTTACAATTTTTTTTAAATGATGTGTGGATTTGCGCTTACCACGGCAATAAATATTAAATAAATAAATAATAATAAAGAAAGAAACACGGAACAGTTTAAATTCACGCTCTTATTTAGAAAAGAACGGGTTCCTGTTTGTCTTGCAGTCTACACAGAATGCATTGCTTCAATTTTACAACAAACGGTTTAAAATTACTAATATATCTGCATGTTTTCTTACCAAAACCCTACAATAAACATAAGAAAATGACCAAGAAGCAGAAGAACCAGCAATCCACAACTATTTTAAGATTGTTTCGACAAATCACCTCCCCAAACTGCACCGACGTGCCAATCTGTGAAAGAAAATGATCTTTCCACTAGATGGCAGTAAAGTGCTGACTTGTCTCTTACCTGAGTGTTTTCTGGTAAACAGAGATAATCTTTATATTTAGCTTCCGCTAACTTTAACTGAACATGTGTGTATTTGAACTTGCAGACTTAAATAAATTGACTAGCGCTTTAGAAATTGCGCAACTAAAATTTGAATTAGCACTGCCCACCACTGCAGATATCTAAAAATGTCATTTTGACTCATCATAATTATGTTTAAAATATATTGAGTTGTTCCTCTGACCTGTCAGAATATAAATAAAGATATCTTAAATTACTGTTCAGGATAATCAAACTGTAGATGTTCAAGTCAAAACTCATTTTTACACATTTAAAGTATAATTACTGAGTCAAACAAAGACGATTTTATGTCAAAATGGCCTTCCGTACACTTTTCATCTTCAGCTCACAGAAAGTTTTATTCCTATAATAAATGAAAACCAGCAGCTGGTTTATTATAAAATATTACGTGTGTGTGTGCAGGTGATCGAGGTTCTGGTCCGGTCGGAGCAGGGTCTGTTCCGGGAGGCCGTGAAGCACCTGAACCAGGTGGAGGAGCAGGTTCTGGAGAGTCTGGCCTGGACCAGCGACTCCCCGCTGTGGCACAGTCTGCAGTCTGCCAAAGTCCCGTCCTGCCAGGAGGTCCGTGACACGGAGACGGGTTCTGTTCCAGTCCGGTTCTGCTCAGAGCTTAAAGTTCTGGATCTGTGTGTGCTTCAGGTGATGCCTCCTCAGTACCTGGAACCAAACGATGAAAGCAACACGAGCAGCGTTCCCGCCACGCCGATAAACAACGCAGCAGAGCTCAGCGCCAACAGGACCGCCAAAGGTGAGACGGTTTCATGATCCAGATCCAGAACCAGAGGTCACCCTGAAGGTTCTGTTTATTTGTTGTCTATTGATGAGATATTTGTTGTTGTTTATCATGGTTAGCAACAACGTTAGCTTCACTGCTAAATGCTAACAAGGTTCACAACAAACACTTCAGCTAATACCAGAGCTGTAAAGTAACTAAGTACAAATACTTTACTGTACTTAAGTAGAATTTTTGGGTATCTGTACTTTACTTCAGTAATTATTTTTCAACCTACTTTTTACTTCTACTCCTTACACTTTAAAAAAGTCAAGAAGTATAAAGTTGTTACTTTTATTTCATTTCTGCTTGTTTTCATTGCAGCTTGTTGTTGTAAAAAATAAAAACTATC